GGGAAATTGGAAAGTCTACACCCTTGCCTTCAAGCACAAACTTGAACTCTGCCACCCATGGTTTCCTCATCACCCAGCTGACTCACGTCCTCCCCATGTCAATCATCATGTGAAGGACACCACCTTTTAAACTGACTCTGCCCCTGTGCCATGTTTTCTTTGCCCTGATGGGAAATTGGAAAGTCTACACCCTTGCCTTCAAGCACAAACTTGAACTCTGCCACCCATGGTTTCCTCATCACCCAGCTGACTCACGTCCTCCCCATGTCAATCATCATGTGAAGGACACCACCTTTTAAACTGACTCTGCCCCTGTGCCATGTTTTCTTTGCCCTGAGTTTGCTGTTCCTGTCCATTTAATGTGGGTTGTTATATCTTCTACACATGGATCTTGTTTCTCTTCTGCACAGCTCTGCATTAGGGTGGAAATCAGCATGCATGCAAAGATGACACTTGGTTGCCAGAAAAAGAAACAGGGAAATTCCTTAGTAAATCTGATTCTTCCAGAGAAAATGATGATAAACATCTTTACTTATGTGATAGACCTCAAAACACCCAGGCACAGAAAGCTTGAGGATAAGAGAAAGACTCTTTGCTGAGCCCATAGAGTCTTGGAGGCTGTTAGGAATGTGTGAAGACACAAATCTGGTCTGGAGTATTGTTTTAAACATGCTTGAGTCATCTTTGCGGCAAAAGAGAGTTTCCCCCTCGGATGGTCGTGGCCCCGCCCCCAGCGTGCCCGGCATCATAACATTACTTCCTGGTGATGTGCACGCCGGGGTGGGGTTCCCCCCGGGGCCCAATTTGCCGCCGGCGGGGAACGGGCCTCTGGGGCGGGGGTTTCCCCGCCCCCCGGGGGGACTTGGCAGCCCTACAACCCAGAGCTGGCAACCTTACAGGTTGGGAGTAAGCCTCACTGATTATGACTTGAGTAGGATTCTGAGTAGACCCACTTAGGATGCTCTGTAATTATGTAGTCCTAAACAGATAGTTTCAGACAAGAGGTGTGGGTCTGAGATAGAAGAGCTAGTAGATTCAAGTCCTCTAGCCACTTGGAGACCAACAAGTTTTTCGAGGTATAAGCTTTCAAAAGGCAAAGCTCTGACGATGGGAGCTTTGACCCTCAAAACCTTCTACCCCAAAAATCTTCTTGGTCTCTAAGGGGCTTCTTGACTTGAATCTAGCAGTCCTAAACAGAGTTACACCCTTCCAAGTCTGCTGAAGTCAGTGGGTTTAGAAGGGGTTAACTCTGACACCGAGGGCTCTGTCCCGCCTCCCCTGTCTGCAGCCCGCATTTGTTTTGCAAAGGGTTGGTGCTCTTTTACAGTTTCCTCATTTGAGCAAGACTTCTTCCTTGCCTTTTTATGGGTTCCTTCACACGATTAAAACTGCACCGGACATCCTCTTAGACTCATACGCAGCCTTTTATCATCTCTGAGATATGCTTTATCTAAAACTGTGCTGGACTCTTTTTGAAGAACCAGAGAGGTTCCTGGAGACAGCTAGACTCTCCTGAATCTTCCTTTCCTTTTAGATAACCAACCTCGACTCTTTTTGAAGAACCAGAGAGGTTTCTGGAGACAGCTAGACTCTCCTGAATCTTCCTTTCCTTTTAGACAACCAAATTCATTTTTTGAGAATCCCCTCTTCTGAAAGTAAAGTTTTGGGCTTGCGAGGTGAGTTCCCAGTCACATGCCAGTTATATTTCAGTGTCATGGCCCCTGTTCCTAAGTGACTGGGCAAGAACTTATATCATAGAAGAATCACAGAGTCGGGACCTAGAAGGTCATCCAAGACTTCTTCCTTGCCTTTTTATGGGTTCCTTCACACAATTAAAACTCACCGGACATCCTCTTAGACTCATACGCAGCCTTTTATCATCTCTGAGATATGCTTTATCTAAATCTGTGCTGGACTCTTTTTGAAGAACCAGAGAGGTTCCTGGAGACAGCTAGACTCTCCTGAATCTTCCTTTCCTTTTAGATAACCAACCTCATTTTTTGAGAATCCCCTCTTCTGAAAGTTTTGGGCTTGCGAGGTGAGTTCTCAGTCACATGCCAGTTAGATTTCAGTGTCATGGCCCCTGTTCCTAGGCGACTGGGCAAGAACTTATATCATAGAAGAATCACAGAGTCGGGACCTAGAGGGTCATCTAGTCCAACCCCCTGCATAATGCAGGAAATTCACACCAACCTCCAGGTGGTAGCTGGAGATATCCTGGGATTACAACCAGGCTTGCTAACCTCCAGGTGGTCGCGAGACGTCTCCCACTATTATCATTGATCTCCAGGTGACAGAGATCAGTTTACCTGGAGAAAATGGCCCCTTTGGAAGGTGGACTCTAGGGCATCACACCCAGTGTTCCCTCTAAGCTGAGTTAGTGTGAGCCAGCTCAGTTTTTTAGCCTCTGGCTCACACATTTTTGCCTTCGCTCAGGAAGGACGGCTCCAGAGCCAACTAATTTATGCAGTAGCCAGATCGCCTGCTCACAACTTTAACGCCGGTAGCTCACAGATTTTTGCTCACAGGACTCCACAGCTTGGAAGGGAGCATTGCTTATACCCCATTGATGCCCCTCCCCTCCCCAAACCCCGCCTTCCTCAGGCTCCACCCCTCCAAATCTCCAGCTATTTCCCCTCTTGGATCTGGCAACCCCTCCCTCACTGGGCCTCACCACTCCCCTATAGACTTGCCTAGAGGCCTGGAGAAAAAATCCCTCCCCTACAAACAGGTTTGCCAACAGTCCTGGACAAAAATGTCCTGTGCCTTTTAGAGAGGTTTAATGTATGCACATGAACTGTGGATGCTTTTCACTGAGGTAAATAACATCACCTGATAAATAACATCCTCTCAGGCCTCTATTAAAGGGACAGGATGCCTATTTTCCTCCAAGCAGTTGGCACCCACCAACCAATCTTAGAAATAAATGGCAAGCAAATCACTCGATTAGCCAGCAATTATAAGTAAACAATGCATTTTTTTAAAAAAAATCTTACTGTTTGGTGTTTATTTAAGTACATATTGACTTAAATGCACTTTTTTGCACAACCTAATGGAAGGTGTAATTCCTTCCCGCCCACCCCCACCTCACACACACATCATTTAATGTAATTGACAGGTTTCATCTTTTTTAGATGTTTTATGCTCTGCGTCTCGGATTGCCAACCTAGAGAAAAAACTTCTTTCCCACCTTCACAGAGGGTTAAAGTTTGGAAAAAGGCAGCTGGTAACTAACACCCCATTAAGCCTCTGTTAAAGGGCCAGGACATGTCTTTTCTCCAGATCTGGCAAACAAACCTGCTTCTGGTCTGTCCGTTTTATGCATAGTTTTAGGGTGCTTAATGGTTACTTTATGCCCCTGGCTTGGATGGATGGATGGATACATGATAGATACATGATAGATCATAGATGGAAGATGATAGACAGACAGATAATTTAGGATGTTTTAATTATTTTATTATATTGCTTCCACTTGTAAGTTGCCTCATGCAGTGCTCTGGAATAGTGGCCTATCAGGTCCCTAAATTAACTGCATTAAAACAAAATCTCCAAAAGAACATTAAGATATCATGACACAATATAGTGCAATAGAAAACCACAGCCACCACATTCCAATGATGTGCCAGTTAACAAATTGATGCTGGGTGCTTTCCTCCCATTTCTTCCCCCCCACCCACTCCCAGCAGCTGGAGTTAATAGAGCTCTTTCCTCAAATTAAAAACAGGTTCCCCCATGTTACATTTAGTAGCAGACAAGACGTTATCTCCAGCAAGCTTGGCGTTAACAATTTCATCAAATTTCACCCAGGGCTGGTGCTGCCACTAGGCCAACCTAGGCGACTGCCTAGGGCACAGGCTGCAGAGGAACACAGAGAAGCTAGAGCACATCTGTGGGGTGGCCATGCTGCGCCTCCCTTGGAAAAGGTGCCCCTTCTGCAGACCGTGGCCCTCCCTCTGGATGCCTGGGCAGGGTTGGGCATCCCTTGCCTTGAAAACCCCATGGGGTCACCATATGCCGTTGTAACTTGATAGCAAAAAAAGCAAACAAGCAAAAAGGGGGGGGGAGGCTGGGCAGGCACCTTTGAGAAATATTTATTTTTATGTTCTGTGGGCCCGATCTTCCAGGCTCAGGAGCGCAGGAGGAGCACCACTTTTTCACGGAGCATCAGGCGCCGCAGGGGCTCTGCTTTATGCGCTGCAAAGAGCAAGTTTGCCTAGGAACGCAGGGCAAGCGCATGACTGAGAGCGGCATCTGTCTGGAGTTAAGGCTTTTAGGTGAAAACTCCAGGGCTTGGACGAGTGGGAGGTGGGTGGGGAGGAAATCACTCTGCACATGGTCAGAGGTGCCCTGGGGGAAAGGCAGGCTTTAGTCTTAGCATGTGGAATCATCACACCGTTCGAGGCCTGTGGCGCTTCTGCATGTTTTACCATGTTAGGTTAGAGGATTCGGTCTGCTCCTGTGAAGATCGCATTCACTTTTTTTGC